TTGCACTCACTGGGGCTGCTGCAACGGGTGCACTTGGACCAGTTAGAGGGTTAAGGGACATCAGTGAGTTGGAGGATTCATACTTTTTCCGTGTCAACGTTCCTGGGGCATCAATGGAGAAAGGTATGTTTCTGTAATGTTTAAGCATTTGATCAATGAATCTGCTCATGATTGCTTTACTTGCTAGTCTTAGGATTGAGGATGTTCATTTTCTTCATTTGATCAAAAAGCCTAACCTCTCTGGTAGAATGAGGAAATGGAAGTGGGGGATGGTTCATCATGTGATATAACTCACTGGAGGAAGTGCAACATGTACGTATCTTCTGACATCAGCGTGGTTGGAAATCCCTTGAAATAATATGATTCTTTGATAATTGTTTGCCACAGTATTTTCTCACCAAAATGTCATTAACCTCCATTCCAGGATTTAGGAGTCAAGCTAATCTATATGCCATGAATCTCAACTCGTGTCTGTTAGAAAAGCTTGAATTATCCTATTCGTCTGTCTATTCTATTACTGATTTTTCCAGGAATGATAATTGTGATCTGACTTATGAGTGCAGGAGACTTCAATTGTGACATTGAACCTGATGGAACAGTAGTAATAAAGGGGATTTCAACAACTGGAGAGAAAGTAATACACTGGGGCTCTCTAGTCTTTGATATGCTGACACAAAATCTAGGCCCGCTGGGACCCTTCACCATCTCATTCAAGCTACCAGGTCCTGTCAATCCACAAGAAGTTGTTAGTCGTTTGGCTGATGGAATTTTTGAAGCCATTGTGAAGAAGTGATTGAGAATGCCTAGGAGAAACGGAGAGCAGGGCGTGCGCCGGGAATGACTTTTCTTCCCTTGCCTCCATCTTAGCATTACGTGTATTGTATGCTTTAAGTGTCAGTCTAGAAAATGTGGAGATCATTATATGAACTTGGTGTTTAAAACTTTCATTTGGAATCAATAAATTGTTATCTCCAGCCTTTCCTTTCCTTTGTTTTTTCCTTTTTAATTGAATATTTGGCTGTGGTATCACTCATTAGAGACCTCATTGAGTATTCATCCCAAGTCCCATAGTATCAATCCGAAGCAGCCTTTTGAACATTTTCACTTGAAACAGGAAGAATCACACCATCATGCAAGAATATATGATGTGTCCCTCCTTTCCTCTTAATAATGCCATTTCCGAACTCCAATTCCAGATATATTCATAAACTTCAATTGACCTATTGTGTCTCTCTAGATATATCAAATTGGACTAATAACTCTTCCCCTTCACATCGTCTTATTATTTTGCACAATATATATGTTGCCATAACCAGACAAAATGACCCGGAGATCCAATTCAATCAGTTGGATGACTGATTCTTCCAATCAAAGAGCTTAGGACTTTCATGCAATGCAATGAAAAATCAAGGGGCATAAAAACCAATAGTCCCAACCATAAACATAAAGTGGCATCAACTTTCTCGACCCAAAGCGTCTGACAGAGTTGTTTTGGCGGGTCTACTGCAACCTTCCTCTAAAACTACCTTGAAAATAGGAGCTTGTCATAGAGCAAATACTGGAAATTTACTCTTTTTACACAACATTATGTTTAACACGAAATTACCAGCTACATCATACATTCTGCAATATTGCATTTGATCAGTGGAGATAGAATATGAGACACTGGCCAGCGAAGGGTACTGTGAGACTGGAGCCAATAAAGTTGAAAAATGAGGCTGTAATTATTTTTGCTCTGTTGAAGTAAATTAAGATGTATGAAAATGCTGATATTGTCTAAAGCTGTGGCTTCCTGCACCCCAGCACCAGACGGGCAGACCAGTGAGAACAGATATCAGTCAAATCCAGTTCTTAACTTTTCGTGGAAGAGTTCTAACTTGTCACAGGAGCTCTTTGGGAATTTGAAGTATGTTTTTAATAGAAACATTCAGGAATTTGTCTGGATTGCTATTACTTATCCACAAAGTGACAGAAAACAGAAACATTGAAATCTGTTAAGCCATATTTGGATATGTTATGTGTCAAAAGACAAGGTCAGTAACTTTCCAAAATAAAAATCTAATGAATTTGCATCACCAGCTTTGGAAAATCAATTACAAATGGTAAGTATATCTGTACATAAAAATGGTAGAACATAGAGGATTTTACAATTAAAGTAATATCATCAAAAGATTATATTAATCTTATTTATGAACAATGAAATTTTTTTAAAAATTATATGTGGAGTGATTGTATTAAAAAGAGAAAATATAAAAAAACCCAAAAAAAAAAGCACAAAATAAAGTTCAAGAGCACGGTGCTCCTGCACCCAATCATTTCCAACGCAGTCCCACTCTGTCTGACCCTTCTTATTTTGGCAAAAACACTTGGCCCAGAAAAGGGAAATTAAATGACTATAGATTCCTTCACAATGGAAATCATTTTGAAAACTCACTGGAAAACTATCAGCCTTGCTCATATCAGGTGACTCTTTCAATGGCTTCTCCAATGACGTAAATATACCCAGATGGCCATACATCTCTTTTTACAAGTTCTCATGCATGTTATGTATGTATCTAATGATGTATGTTCGTACTGTGCATTGGGGTAAGCTAAAAGTTACAGCTTTCAATTCCCAGTTTTGCAAATTTTCAAATGTATAAGTTTATGCCATGTTCTTTCTGGTTTTGGGATGTAATCTTGACCATTGAGCATGATGTTGATGGATTGTTTGATGTTTTCTTGCTTCATGTTATGCTCGATACCATCTTGGTTTTTAATTTTTCTGGCAAAGAATTAAACTTTAATGGTTAAAGTGTTTATCATCTGTTAAGGTGCAGAAAGGAAGGATTTTGATTTTTAGGATTGCTGTATACAACCTTTTCAATGATAAGAAAAACAAAGGTAAAAGAATGTGGTTGGAGACTGAATTAGGACAAAATGCTATCTTCATCTTTGGTTGCATTTTTGGGAGTTTGGATTCCATTGCCAAGAGCCAATCCATGTTAAGGGTTTTCCTAGGGTTTATGAGCTAACTTTTTTCCTATTTTCGGACTTTAGATAACGGCTCTTAGAGCTTTTCTCTGAAAATATTTATTCTCTTGTTTAGGAAAATTAAGGGTAATGTTTATTGACTTGTCCTTGCCAAGTGGAAACCGGCCAGCTTATCCTCATTCCAAAAAGATTGATACTTCTTTCTTTCCAACACTAAATCAGCCATAAAACTTGTTTCTGCATTATCTAGAACTCAAAATTTCTTGATAAGAAGAATGAATAACACAACAAAGAAAAACCTAGTGTGTTTATACCTATGCACCAACCCAACTTTTTATTCGTGAGATCATAGTTGTATGGGTCATCACATGGATGCTAGGCAATGCATTCAGAGTGCTTCTATAGGGCACATGATAAATCTTTGGATTCATCAAAAAGTTAAATTAAACATCAATAATCAATAAAGTAGGTAGTACTATTATCATCAATCCAAGGGTGAAAGATTATGTGATAAGTTTGATATATTAAATAACATTTTGAAGTAATTGAAGAACAAAAGAAAGATTACAGAAAAGGATTTGCTTGGAAGTATATTTATCTCTCTGAGCAATGTATAGCAAATCAAAATGAGGACATGCAATCACAGAAACAGATCCAAAACCGAACATCTTAGGTAAAAGAACTAATATTACATATCATGATTGTCATGTGCTGCACAACATTAACTAGGATACAGATGACGAAATCCAATACAAGTACATATTTTTTGGAATCATTTCTATCAGGATTAGATGGTTGAAGAGTCATACCATATGGATCTAAGATGTCATGAAGTGTGTGACAGCGATTTTCGGATCAAAGTGAAGAGTTTTCTTGTGATATGAGTTATGTAAGAATTAGGATCTAGGTCGAAGGACTTACTAAACTAGCTGTTTCAATTTTTAAAATAAAAATTTGTTATTATAAATCCCTGCATTTGGAGCAAGTTTTGGAGATTCCATCAGTCAAGGATGCCCACAAAATGTTATTGCTCTTAAATTTATTCAGGGATCATCCTTTTTGTGCCTGGGGCTTGTCCTAATCTCTCTCTGAAATACATAGACAAGCATCTGAGGAATTATCTTATGGACATGGATTACAATGCATAAGTGCATCTAATTTGGTTTAATCATCTTTGAATTAGCACTAATGAATTGATATATCTAGGTCCAATGCAACCAAATTTTGTTCGCTCTACACCATGTTGTCTAAAGAAATATTCATAGCTGCCCTCATTTGCTGTTTTTTCTTTCTGGATTACTATCTGTCCTTTATCATTTCTCCAAAACTAAACTTCTAATGCATAATAGTCAGAGTTTCTTAGAATGAGGGTGTGAAGCATTAATTGTGTGGTTTGAAGACTTCCCTGAAAATCAGAAGGTTTCGAAAAGCAAGCTTATCTAATGGTAGCATAAGTCAGCTTTCCAAAAGAAAGCTGACAAGTTGATTTCTTGTAAATAAGAAGTATGCGCATGCTATGCGCGTGTTCTCCATGTATGAAATCCAGAGATGACTGGGCTTGTCTGAATGTGCACGTGTAATATGCACTGATTAATACATGTGTCTTGATCTAAAACTTACAAACTGGACTCTCATCATTCACCATGTTTCATGTATGTATAACACGCGCATAATGCGTGTATCTTCCTATTTTGATGAGAGCAACAATTCAGCTTTATTACTTGGAAGTTTCTTTATGCTATTAAGTAAGGAATCTGTTGGAAACATAAAAATTTGCAGTAAAAGGAAAAAAAATATGGAAGGCTGCGTAGGACGTATTAATAATTCAAGAGGGAAATAATAAATGAGGCAGCTGGAGAGTTGACTTGGATTACTCTGATGAACATTATATAAAGCGCGGTCGTAAATTTCAGCCAATAACCTACATCTTTTACAATTGTGTAATATACATTAGGGAAATCGTAGTTTCTTAGCAATGAATTCTCAGATTATGAGCAGCAGAGAAGATGGGGATGATTTATCAGAAAAATCGAAAGCCCTTAATCTCAATGATGGGGTTCTAAGGTTTGAGAAAAACTACTTGAGATTTGATAGTTTTTGGTTTCAATTATGTTGTTGGTGATTTGAAGCATGCCAATGTCTAGTTTCATTAGTTCTCCATTTGTTTATGTTTGTAGTTTTGGAATTTTGTGTCATAGTTCTACAAAAACTAAATTGTTCTGGTGGTGCATAACTCTGCAATTAGCTACAATCTATGTTTTCTTAATGTTTGATTTTTATGATGGAGGAGAAGCGATGAATTAAATAATTGATATCTATGTAAACTATGGCTTGCCTGGTATGTGTTTCTTCATGTTTTGTTTTCATAAGATTTCCTACCTGTTCTTCCAATGGATTATTAAACAAGCCATGTTTTATTACTGATGTCTTAAAAAAACTCAATAACATATGATACCGGTGGGAGGCAATGTATTGCTGAGGCAGTTTTAGTTTTCTAGGGCTTCAGCTAGTGTTCATATGCGAATGTGACAGCCTACATATCTTCTGGCAGGTCTGAGAAGACAGAAGGTGAAAATAATGAGCCTAATCACATGAATCCCCAGCAACCAGTTCTTGATGTGCCTCCTTTCAGTTGTGTGCATCACATTGATCCACCAAGCCCTGGTGATACATTTTCCTCACCACCCGGAGAGCAGACTAAGGCTTCAGAAACAATCGGTCCAGCTATGATATTTTTGCCTTCCCAATCAACCAGGAAGGAGTTGGATAATATGATGGCTCATACCAGATATGGAGTTGCACTCACTGGGGCTGCTGCAACGGGCTCAATTGGACCAGTTAGAGGGTTAAGGGACATCAATGAAATGGAGGATTCATACCATTTCCGTGTCAACGTTCCTGGGGCA